CACGAATCCGGTGATATGATAATCCAATTTGAATTCGTGATTTCCTGAATTATAGCTAATCAGGATCGCCATCTTTTTCAATCATTTTTTTGTTTATAGTGTTTACTGTTTTCTATGCGTGATTTAAGCGTCTTTCAATCTATGGAGAGAGAACCATTATATGGAGAGAGAGAGAGAGAGAGAGAGAACCGTATTATCACAATCTCGTAAAATGGATAAAAAAATCAATAATTATTCCTCTTTTGATTCTTTTTGCTACTAATTGTATTTATGTAAATATATCTAGACTATGGGTTATGTATGTAGTTTTCCCTATTTTTTAACTCCCACATCGGGAACATAAGGAAATCAATTCAGGAACTTATATCATTTTACATTCACATCTACTCAAACAGAAACAGGTGGACCGCTTGATTCGTTGACCGTTGCCAGTTCTTCAGTTTCATCGGTTTTGACAGGTTTTAGCGGTTTTTTTCCGGTTTTGAGTCCCAACGGCTCAATACCCCAAATTGAACCGGTATATTGGCCGGTTCCCGGTTGAACCGGTCGAACCAGTCTATCCGGTCTGGTTTTGACAACCTTGGTTTCATCGTTAGCCAATCGGAGCCGAGCAATAAAGCTTTTGGCAAGGGCAGACGTAAGCGAGCCAAGGTCTCCATGACTGAACCCAAGACTGAATATTTACCTAAAAGGTTGGTAATATCTCCAATCGTTTGGCTTGTGGCCACTTGAATTGAAGAACAAATTGGTCATTGTGTATATGCCATTCTTTTTATTATTTTTTATTTTTTGGGGTGTGTTTTTTTTTGGTGTGCTTTAAATCTCATAGAATACACTTGGATGGAATTTTGAGGGTGGGAATTTTGGTTGTATGTGTATTCTTGTTGATTTTTTTTATTTTTTTTATTTTTTTTTTGGTTTTGTTTGCAATTTAGATATAATTAACGATTTTTATTTTTCAATGAAGAAGGTTTAGAAGGGCTGAGATGTGTTTTTTAGATTGTGATGTGAAAGATTAGATTCATAAAGCTGGTTGTTCAAGTGTTGTCATTTGAATTTATCTTATATTGTCATCCTTTTTTTGTTTTGTTACACAAATTTTTTTATTTTTCAACCTCTTTTAAGATTTGATTATGAACTGAACTCAGGCCGCACAGCCGAGAGCCTACTAGTTTTTAAGATACTAGTAAAGTGCACGTGTGATGCACGTGGTATCGAATAATTTTCGCTGAGTAAGTTTGTAAATAAATTAATTTATTTATTAAACATATCATTGCAGGAATGAAATAAAATATAGAACAATGAATTCATATTTGATTTTTTTTTATTTAGAATTATCGTAATGATGTCCTAATATAAAAAGAATGAAATAACGTTTTACAACCCCCAACTAAAATATATAAAAAATAAATCCTTAATACAAAAAACACTAAGAGGATGATTGGATATAAAAAAATTTTGGTTTTGTTTGGATTTTTTTGTTTGGTTTGGTTAATTTTGAAAAAATTGGTATGGTTAGTTGTTAGTGGGTATATTAGAATAATATTTAAAATAAAATAATTAAAGTTGATTTGATGTAAAGTACGAGAGAGAAGATTTGAAATGATAGTTAGTTAAAATTATGTAAGTGGATGAATAGTGAATTAAGGTAAAGTGGTGTGTAAGAATGATTGATTTATATTATTTAATTATATTGATGATAGTGGGATTGAGTTAAAGTTGAGTTAAAAAAGTGATTGAGTTAAAAATATTTGGATTTTGTTGAGAAATTTTGTATCCAAGCATGCTCTAAGATTTTCTTTCATTTCTCATAAGAAACATTCATACTCATTGGAGTCCAATACATCAATACTATTGCAAAATTTCTCTTAATTCATTTGGCAAAACGCTAATTTTATTCAAACACTTAAGAAACATTTTGACCCAACATATAGTCAAACTTCATGATCGTATAATCTTTATAATGAGGTACTTCTACTAACAATGCATAAATACCTATATGAAATAACTAACTGTGTCATTAAAATTGCTGGTATTTTTTATCATTGTATAAACTACTACATTCCTCTGTCTCTAGACATATTGGTGCCTACGCCATTGATACATCGCCCCACGAGGTGGGAATGAATTTTATCTCCAAATAAAATTTTTAAAATTTTGATACATGTACTTCTCCCGAGGTGCTAAATTATTTTTTGAAATCATTATACATTACCTGAAAGTACCTCTAGAGTAATTGTACATACGTTCGAGTACAATACACCAATGAGATTATAAATATTTTTATAAAAAGTAACAACTTCATTCGAACATTCAAAACTGTTTTGCTACTCCGACATTGTTATTTATTTGGAATATAGACGAACAATGTAATCTATTATTTGAAAATTATTGATCATCATGGTTGTTGCAATGATTTTTGAATTGTTTATCATAATATCTTTCACATTCGTTTGAATGTGCAATATTTGTATGCCTAATAACTTCTTTAATGCTTTTATTGTCCAACATTATTCATCATACAAAATGATTATAACATTCAAGATAAAGATCATTTCTTTATTCTCCAACAATGACAAAACAAAACAATCAAAACAATGAGAAAATATTGAGAAGCATATCATTTGTTAAAATATTTGATAAAAGAGGAATTAGAATTCTATTATATTACGATACTCTTAGTCATCTGCAAAGTTTATTATTATGGAGTCATGATTAAAATATACATTATGTATTACAAATTTTTGGATTTTTTTAATTATTTAAAATTAAAAATAAATAATATAGGATCATTATTTATGAAAACCAATTTCTTACAAAGTCCATATATTTAAACGCTAGCAACAAAAAGTAGTAATTTTCAAAGACTTTTTGTTTGTAAATATTGGTATTCATACTTCTCTAAGAAAATTCACACGTATTTTTTTCTCATTGTGTTACTATTATATTATATGTTTCTTATTCTATAGACAAATAATATTTTATTTGCTAAATAATTAAAGCACATTTATATGTATTGCGTTATTTTTTGTATGTGTTTTATATAATGATGTTTTCAAATTATCTTTCTTATTAGGCTACAACTACTATAATCACATAAGATACAATGTAAATTTAATATATTTGATAAAAATGTACTTTTTATACGAATTATTAGATTAAAAAGTTTACAATTTTTTCAATGTTTGATAAAATATTAGGTAACTAAGTCATTCTTTTTCAAGCAGTAATT